TACACCACCAATCTCCAGAGCTACGCAGCCTTGCAGCAGCCATTCCTCCTCTCTCGTCCTCTACCTGTTGCACCTCTCTCTCTCTCCTCCTCCGTTCTTCAATTTCACGAAGCTCTTCGTCAGTGTATTCTGGCTCAAATAAATAAGGGCGGCCATCAAACTCTGCAAAATCAAATTCCTCCTCCGTAAAGTCGAAGTCTGGCAAAAAGTCAGCCATTATTCTATAAATCTTTCATAAAATAAATGAATGAACTTTTCAGGCTACTGTCCGGTTCTGCCTTCCAGCTGTTGCTGCTTGTTCTCGCGAGATTTCAGCCACGCTTTGGAAAGCAGAGGTAAATGATAAACAAACATGGCAGCACACCGGTAAGGTAAGACAACACGTTTACATGTCGTTTTCTATATGTTCTCTGACATTTATCCTAACGATATGAGGCGGTCTTTGTGGAAAAAAAGCTTGTTAAGTGGACTAAACGGTAGGAGGATAGGAGACGGGTTGAAATAAACCGAAATTTCCCTTTAAGAACAACTCAAGTGCAAATTATAAATAAAAGTTTATATATTTGACCAATTTAAAGTTGTGTCACATTTTGCTCCTGACTGCAGCCTCCTGCTGGGATCAGGATCATCCTCATGTTTTGCATCAAAGGGATCCTGATCCTACTAAGACCCTCTGAACAATCAACACATTCGTCGCTTTGTCAGTGGACTTTCACGTCTGTTACACACTCAGCATCCTTCTCCTGTTGACGTTCCAGGACACTGCATGTAACCCAGGTTTGGCTAAACACAGGAAATGAACCGTAGGCTCCCAAGTGAAAGTCCAGGGTTTGTTGGATCAATCAATCAATCAATTTTATTTATAAAGCCCAATATCACAAATCACAATTTGCCTCACAGGGCTTTACAGCATACGACATCCCTCTGTCCTTATGACCCTCACAGCTGATCAGGAAAAACTCCCCAAAAAACCCTTTAACAGGGAAAAAAACGGTAAAAACCTCAGGAAGAGCAACTGAGGAGGGATCCCTCTTCCAGGACGGACAGACGTGTATCCATCTACCTCCCGTCCCGTCCACTCTACACAGACTTTCCAGCTCCTTATGTTATTTCATCATCATCAGCATTTCAAACTGACACCGTCCAGCAGCATATCATACTGCCATGCCAGCTGCTGTCAGGCCAACCGATGGCATATCATAACAGTGCCAAAGGCTCCCTGCAGCTGTGTTACAAACTGATGCAGCCCTGAGGTGTATCATACCACCGCTAAAGGTGGCTTTTGGTGTCGGTATCTAACGCTGAAACCACTGACAAAGCAGCGGTTTATTTGATGACTTCAGAAAGAGGACGAACTGGAACAACACAAACTGAAGGTTTGATCCAGATCAACACCAAATCACATGATCCAATCTGAATTTAGAATTCTTTTTTCTGTTGAACCCATTTTCAGGATTTGATCTGAAGTCGGATCAGATTACTTCTGAACAGCTGAGTCCTGATTCTCAGTGAGGAAGAGAAGAAGAGGAACTGTTCCTTTAAGACGAGTCGTGATGACATCAGCAGCTGGATGAGACTTTGCTTTATTCAGAAACAGGGTAATTTGGTACAAACATCATGAACGTAAAACAACTGAACACCAGAAGAAGAACCCAGCAGACGTTTCCACATTCTGGTCTCAGACAGGTAAACCATCAAGGATCAAGTCTGGACTTCAGGATAGTTTAAAACATGATGACAAACATGACTGTTAAAATCCAGAGAACCTGGTAGAACATCAGCTCCAGTCGTTTGTCTGTCGGCTCTGCAGTCTGTTTCTCATAAAGAGTTCGTTAGCATTAGCAGAAAGTGAGCAAGCTGCACATGCGTCATCACAAGTGAAAAACAACAACAAGTGTTTCTATAATCCAGCGTGTTTCCTGTCAGTCCTGCCCTCTCTGCTCCTGTTCGGTCTCTTCACAAGATCCTTCCGTCGTTTCTCATTCAGCAGCTGCTGAATTCGTTTGTTTTGCGTTCGCTCGCGGACCGGCGGCATCCGCGGCACAAAGTAGTTCTGCTGCCCCCTGGTGATGTCACCATCCAATCCCACAATCCGGTATGGGACCTCGTCCACCGAGTTGTTATCCTTCTTAGAGAGCGGGAAGAAGGAAGATGATGACGATGTTGGTTCAGTTTCTGTTGGAAGGCTCCGTCTCCCTGATGTTCTGTTTGGTGATGATGTGGTGGTGTTGATGACATCAGGATCAAATGATGGTGTTGTGGGAAACTCTGGGACAGCAGACGTCCTGATCAGTGCCGGGGTTGGACTGTAACCTTCAGTTGTTGCTATTGGAACTGCAACAGGGGGCATTGTGGGAGAGGTAGTTTTCCTCTTGAATAAATGTGGTGGGGCCGTTTTTCTTGGACGCCTTGTAGTTGTAGTTGTCGTAGTCATAGTTGTAGTTGGGATGATGTCAGGGGTGTCAGAGGAAATAGAAGGATCTTCGTAGGACGAAAAATCATCGTAATCATCGTAGTCCACATACACAAAGTCAGTGGTGCTCCTGACGGTGGGGGGCGGGGTTACAGTGAAGCTGGGATGTGGCGAGCTGATGATGTCAGTGATGATGTCACTTGTGATGTAGCTGCTGTCAGACCAGGAGGAGGTGGATGCTGATGTCATCGCCTCTGTGGTTGAACTCCATGAACTACGAGACAAAAACAAGAAAGATCAGTGACGTCAGATCAGGACGGTTTAACCCCCCCCCCCCCCACCAGCTGTTAATGGAACATTCCAGGTCAATGAATGTTCCAACCTGCTGTTGGCGGTCGGCAGGATTGTGCTGCTGAAGAAGCTGAAGTTGTCTAAGTTGCTGGAGTTATCAGAGATGCTGAAGTTGCTGGAGGTGCTGGAGTTGTCAGAGATGCTGAAGTTGCTGGAGGTGCTGGAGTTATCAGAGATGCTGGAGTTGTGCGAGTTGCTGAGGTTCACCTCGCTGCAGGACTTGCAACACATCTGACGGTATCCAGCGATGGAGCAGTACCGACTCAACACCTCCATCCGACAAAACACTGAGCGGTCACCACGGCAACGCTGCCCTGGAGACAGAGCAGGAGCAACAGTTACTGAAGTTTGACCATCAGAGCAGAACAGGTGATTGGTGAGTCCATCATGATGTGTTCTGGTTTATCTATTGAGTTGTGGTGTAAAGAAACACCTGGTGTTAACCTGGACACATGATCTGAACAAAGACATCAGATCTCAGTCTTCACGTTTACACCTGGTGTTAATCACCTGGTTGTCATATTTTTTCCTTTGCAGAGGAAGAGTTCGTCTTTAGCTTTTATTTTGACACATAGATTAAGGTAACAGGAAGAGCTGGAATCAGGTGACCTTTCACCTTATTGGGCAGATTTATTTATTTAATCGATTTTTAAATTATCAGCTGCCATCTTAGACAACAACAACCTGAGTAACATTCACAGTCAACTCCAAAGATGGAGGTCAGAGAGGAGAAGAAAGGAGGAAGAGGAGGAGTAGTGTGTTTTACTGGAGGAGATCTTTGGAGCTGGGAAGTCTGGGTTGGACCTGGACAGCCACTGAATGATGGCGTTCTTTTGGTCGCCTGCAGGAGGAGACAAACACACAGGGAGAGACACACAGACTAAATCTCCCAACATCCCTCCCTCTGTGTGAGTGAACTTCTATTTGGTATGTGATTGGTTGATGCCTACCGTTACAAGGTGGGGGATGACAGGTGCGGGTTGTGATTGGTCGAGGGTTGCTGCAGTTTCGAGCCGAACCCTCTGGACTTAAACACGCCACCTGACGCTCCTGAGTCCCGTTTCCACACGACACTGAACACTAAAGACACAAAAATGTTGGTCAGATGTTCAGATTATAAACTGATCAGTTAGTGATCTGAGATCATATTTAACAACATCCATGATTTATGACAGCTCCAAACTGGCTGAGGAGGTGAGGTGGTTCAGAAAGCACTTAGTCCAGAAAGAGGAAGGTAGAGGCGGTCCTGAAAGACAAAGGCCGAGGTAGACCAGGGACAAGCAAGGTAGGGGTAGTCCAGAAATAAAGAATTTAAAAGTAGTCCAGAGAGAAAGAGGTTAGAGGAAGTCTAGAGACAAGCCCAGAAAGAGAAAGGTAAAGTTAAACCATCAAAAGGGAGGTAGAGGTAGTCCATAGACAGCTGTAGTCCAGAGAGAAAGAAGGTAGAGGTAGTCTATAGATTAGGGAGGCAGAGATAATCCAGCATGAGGAAAGAAGAGGGAAGGTAGGGGTTGTCCTGAAAGACAAAGGTAGAGGTAGTCTAGAGACAAGGAAGGTAAAGTTAGTCCAACAAGAGGAAGGCAGAGGTGGTTCAGAAAGAGGGACTGTAGCAGTAATCTAGAGACAAGAAAGGTAGAGGCAGTCCTAAAAGACAAAGGCAGAGGTGGCCCAGAAAGAGGAAGGTAAAGGTAGTCAAGACAGAAGGAAGGTAGGGGTAGTCCAGAAAAAAAGAAGTTAGAATTAGTCTAGAAAGAGGGACTTAGAGATAGTCAACCATTTTGGAGGACTCTGGTGGTATAATAACTGTGTGACTTTGTGAATAGTGCCCCGGCTTCACTCTTCATACCGGGGTCCAGGGCCCAGCTCGCCAGGCAGCAGGACAGGGTAAGCGGTTGCAGGTTCGTCTCCCTTCTGGTCGGTCTTCACCACAGAGTTTGCTGTTGACTGAGCGCTGCTGCTGCCCCTTGCTGGACGTCTGCTGGCAGCTCACCCAACGACGCTGCCACCCCGTCTGACCACAGGTGGCGCTGCAGTCCCCCCACTCCCCGGTCATCCAGCTGAGGGAGCACAAACAATAGGATTATATAAAATACGCCATGCTGTCTTATTGGACAATAGCGTTTTTCTCTGTGTCATTATATAACGCACCATTCCCCCCTTTTTGATTTATTTATTGGTGAGTTGTAGAGTGTGACTGTGGCAAGCTGTTGTGTGTTACCGTGGCGGACTGCAGGTCTCAGTGTTGCAGGTGCGGCTGATGGCTCTTGGTTTGTTGATGTTGGAGCAGTACGTCCTCTGAACCATTTTCCCATCCGCCTTCCTCCTGCAGCCGAACCTCGTGTACTGTTTCCCTGGCAGCCAGACAACACTGTTAACTACCATGCCGCTGTTACCCTGGTTACCCACATGACACAGCTGACTACCAGGCCGTTTACCAGCAGCAGAGTTGCATACCTCCTCCACAGGGTTTGGAGCAGTGTGACCACTTCTTCAGTGCCCACTCGTAGAAGATGGCATCCTCCTGTACCAGGTTGGACTCCAGTGAGGACCGGAGACGATCCTGGATGACATACTTATAGGATACAGTCACCTTGGACTCGCCATGGGAACGGACCTGATGGCCAGAAACATGCAATTAGACTCTAATTAAACACTACATGACTGACAGGGCTTTCACATAGCCACACGGTTCTTCAGCGCCGCCAGTCATTTCAATAAGTGGAAGGGGTTTCCAACATGGCTGTAGGGGTATATGGTTTCTGAGTTCATTAAGCTGAACTTCTGGCAGTTGCTGCCTGCCCGGCCGATCAAATAGCACCATCATGGAAGCAGAAAGAAGATGAGATGGAGGAGCTGATAATGTTGGTGACTGAATAACCAAAGAAAGACTAGACCTGGAAAACATTCCCACCAAATGTCAAACGGTAGATTGTCTAAATTTGTATAAGTCTTTGGTAATGTCACTGATTTGCGTCATAGTGCTATAGTACGCAGCTGTAAGTTAGCTCACACACAGTGTTCACTAAAGCACCTTCCTGGTACTGGTCATGAAGCAGCTGCTTTTAAAAGGATAGTGCACCCAAAAATGAAACTTCAGCCATTATCTACTCACCCATATGCCGAGGGAGGCTCAGGTGAAGTTTTAGAGTCCTCACATCACTTGCAGAGATCCAAGGGGAGAGGAGGTAGCAACACAACTCCACCTAATGGAGGCTGACGGTGCCCCAGATTCAAACGTCCAAAAACACATAATTGAAACCACAAAATATCTCCATACTGCTCGTCCGTAGTGATCCAAGTGTCCTGAAGCCCCGACATAAAAAGTTGTTTG